AAGTTTTTTGAATAGACACAAAACAATTTTTCGATAATATAAATCTAATCCCATAATGCAGTAATGTTCATTAAATCAGTAAAATTTAATCAGTTTCTCGTGTAAGCAAAAGTCAAATGCAGAGGACAATATTGAACTATTTAATTGCAAAGCCGTCATAATATTCATGCAACAAAACGAAGAAAAAAGGAAGTGAACAAGGAAAAAAAGTTTCACAGAGTGAAAACGGGAAAAACATTCCCTAACATAATTTTGATAGATTAATTAAAAACTATCCATATTTTATTCACATATATCACAATTTGTTCTCACATAAGAAACAGAAATTAGTAAATAAAATAATTTCAAAAGGGGTCAAAGCTGACTAGGGTTTTGGAGGGATAGGCTGAAGCTCTTGCTACATAAAATGTTCAAGGACTACGATCAAATGAGAATGAACCAAATAGAATCTTCAAAGAATATAATATCAACATATCTGTGATCACCGAAACCAAAAAAAAAAGCTCAAAGGCACTAAAGAACTTGATTATATCATGTTTTACATAGGAGTTGCACAAACAAAAAGAGCATGTTGTGGAGTAGCTGAACTCGTAGAGAGAAAATTGAAGAATAAAGTTAGGAAATATACATTTTTTTAATAAATGAAAGACTGCTAACAATAAGACTGAAATTCAATAGAGGGAATCAGAAAATTATCAGCACTTATGCACCTTAGGAAAGGAAACAAGAAGAAACAAATCTATTTTATGATCAACTTCAGAAGCATTTTAATAAATCAACAAATGACCAAATAATCTTAGCAGAATTAAATACTCGAATTGGAAAAGTCCCCATTCCCAATTTAAAACAAATGAATGGGGAAGATACAATAAATAAGAATGGGGAAAAACTTAATAGAATTTATAGCTTTTAAGGAACTGAAAGTAACAAATACTTTCTTTAAAAAGAAGGTTATTCATAAATTGACATACAATGCACGAGGATATCATTCATTAATTGATTACATAATAATAAACAAAAAATTGCCCTCGAGAATAATAAATACACAAGTATTCAGAGTTAAAAATGTAAACACAGACCACCACATTGTAAAGGCAAAATTTTGCTCTGGTCCAGATGGAGAAAACAAGAATAAAAATATAGAGGAAAAGAAATTAGATAAAAAAATTCAAAGTACATTTACTACAAGAAGAAGATAAGGAATTTATATCAGTACAGATTGACACAACTGCTCAAAGAAATACTCACAAGCCAAAACATAAACAAAGAGCGGATGAATATTACAAATGCCATCAATCATATAGCTAAAGAAGTGCTAGGTGAAAAACTAAAAAATTAAAAAAAAATGTTTCAAAATTTGGAACCAAGAGATACAAAAAACCATTCAAGATAAAGATATTTATTAAAGATAATGAATATTAACAAAAGAAAACAATAGAAGCTAAAGAACTATACCACAAAATCAGGAATGAAACAAAGCAATAGTAAGAACAGCACATAGGACATCATGGGATATCTTCACAAGCAGAGTGAAACATGAGGAACTCGTCTCCATGGGAGGCAAGAAATAGCATTCAAACTAATGAAACAGCTAAACAGAGAAGAGAGAGATACTGTGAACCTTAATGTAACACCAACATCATACTGGATTAAACACTATAAACAACTGTCGTACAATCCAGAAATTGTGGAAAAAGCTGATAAAGTGCAATCGCTACAGGTAGATTATATTGAATCGAATGAATTTAAGATTGCCCTTAAAAAAATTAAAAATCTAAAATTGCCAGGTTTGGATGGAATAAATTCTGAAATGATAAAATATGGAGGTATCCTTTTAGAATTTAGAATGCTTCATCTTTTCAACATGTGTTGAGAAAGTTATGAAATATCAGATGAATGGAAATAGCAAATATCATTTTGATATTTAAATAAGGAGAAAGAGAAAATACATTGAACTACAGAGGTATCAGTATTCTCAATTCAACCTTCAAGCTTTACAGTAAAATAGTCCACAAAAGGCTTTGAAATATCTCCAATACAATATTAACAGAAGACCAAGCAGGCTTCCGCAAGGGAAGATAATGCACAATGTTTTTAACTTAAAACAAATAATACAAAAAAAGGAGAGAATTTAAATTCAAAACACACCTAGCTTTTGTGGACTTTGGGAAAAAAAAAATGATACGATTAAAGAGATAAGCTATGCATATATTGGAAAAAAGAGGATCCAGGTCTCAATAAGTCTGTATAATAACACCAGAATTATAATTGACGCTGGTAAAAAACAGACAAATCAAGGAGTGAAACAAGGATGTACTATGTTCCACTCTATATAGATGATATGATTAGAGAATGGAATAAAAACGAACACACACAGGAATTAAAATGGACAAACATCAACTCCAGCCGCGGAAGCCGATGCAACTGATTAAGGAATCATACAGACAGCAAGGATAAATTGCATGGCCCTACACAGGCTCAATGAACTAAATCAAACCTATAACCTTACAATATCTTTAGCAAAAACCAAAACAATAGCAGTTTTAGGTGTTTATTCAATAAGAACAAAAATAGTCATAAATGACAAACCAATAGAACAGGTGTCTCATTTCCAGTATTTGGACTGTGAGATATCTTATGAAGACAAAGATATTAAGAAATGGATTAATATATTTCAACACATATGCACAATTAGAAGAACTCCAAAAGAAATGCAATTAAAATTTCACAATGGCAGTCCCCACTTTACTATATGGAACAGAACCCTGGACTCTCAGGAACGAGGATCTTAAACAGCTAGAAGCCTAAGAAATGAAACTTCTTATATCTGTTAAAGGCTGCACCAGAGAAGACAAAATCTGAAATGAGGCAATTGGGAATTAACTAGGGATGCAATCAATAACTGAAATGGCAGTCCATCATAAAGAAACATGGAGAGAGGATGTCCTTCCTATGCCAGCAGAAAGGATTCCAAAACAAGCAATAGAATATAATCTATAAGGGAAAAGAAGTGTGGGAAGAACGAGGAAGAGATGGTGAGATAGGAATAGTCTTAGATTAGGCATAATCTTGGAATGACAAAATAAAAATTTCAAAATGATTAATTGCATATTACACAAAATAATACTAAAATCTGCTTCTCTCTGCGGAAAATTGTACAAAATTCTAATGGCTTCCTCAAAAAAGTAAAAAGAACTAGAACAGCATGAACTGAGGAAGAAACACCAGAAATGATGAATGGTTTTGAGAAGTAAAATAGAAACAATTCAGCAGCCAGTTGAAATAATCGGTCCATGAAAAAATGATTTTTAGAAACAGTTCTTTCTAACAATGTGGTCATTAAAATACTAATAAAAAGTGATGACAAAATAAAAATTGTATGTACTTCATTGTACATCACTTTTTGCAGTAATGATGTAAATTTTACGGTACGAGAAATTGAATTAGTTGGGTAAAAAAAATAACAATGTACTTTAAAACATTGCATACCTAATTGAACCACTATTATTTGATTAAAATGCTGAATCACAAAACTGCTTCTAAGATTTGCAAAACTGGAATGATAGGTGTGAGCAGCCAAAGCAAGAGGGGGGGAGGGGGATTTCCTGCACCTCCTCTTCCTCCGAACTTTATGTACATGTGATATTTCTTACTAGTAAATAAATAAAATACAAGGAGAATGAAATTATAAGTTTAATGATACAATTAATAAATACAATTGATTTAAAGTTAAAACATTTTTACAAAATGGCTAGATGGCTTAAAAAGCATCTTCACAAAATGGCATACAACAATTTTACAAATTGTCAGGTTTAAAAAAGGGGTTTGAATATTTAAGGGAAAAAAAAAAAAATTATTATGCTAGGCTATAGGACCGTTTTCAAGGGTGGGGGGTATAACCTTTCATTCCATGTAATCCCTTCCAGCCATTGAAATATTTTTTTCTTAACAAATGTATGTATCTTATTCATATAAAAATATTTTATTCAAAATAAATTTTCTATCAAAGTAGCTATAAAAGTGGCAAAAATTGGTATCTAGTTGAAGCTATTGAATCAGAAACTTGTTCTTTTAGTAAACTAATTTGGGTAAGAAAGTTTAAAAAAATTGGACAGGGGTTTTAGATACAGTTAATTTTTGTCTAAGGATTAAACAATGAGAGCAAAGAAAATCACTGAGAATAAAATAATTATTTACAAAGAAATGCCCAAGGCATTTAGCAAGAGAGACCTAATCCACTAAATCCAAAACAATGAATCAAAATTCAGGCATTTATTCAGTAAATTGGAAAAATGAAATATAATACCCTTTGTTCAATGTTTATAATTAGTGAATTATTTAGGAAAGTTGGTGCGTGAAAGCCAAGTCACAGCTAATCAGCTCAGCCAACCAGCACCAAGACATTGATTAAGTATTGAATTAATATAAACCCTCATCTTTGCAAATGGCTTTTGAAAATAAATACAAACAAGTGAGGCCCATCAACCACAGTGCACTTCATTTCCATTAACTTTCTGTATTCATAATACCCACATTTGTCACTGCTTGTAAGTTTGATACAGTGATAAATACAAGAGTTATATATAAAATAAAGTAGTTAATGTCAAAATGAACAAATAAGTGAAGGGAAATCATTTAATCTCTGCTCAATTATCTTATTTTAGTAGATAGAATATAGGAAATGTATTGTTTATTGTTCAAGTCATAAAAATTAACTCTCAAGAAAATGTAAAAAAAATCCTTTAAAATGGTATTCCTTCAATAAAATGCTTCTAAAATTATCAATTCATATCCTTCAAGTAAACATTTTGCTAAAAACATGGAGGAAAAAATGACTCTGATAACAAATAATTCACGCAATTAAAGAACAAGCAAGCTAATGTACGTAAAACTCAATTGTCAGTTTCATACTTTGTGACTTAGCTTCCTCTCTCTCTCTCTCTTGGTCTCAATTAAAAAACACAACAAAGAAAACAAGGAACACTTAGATTTCCCATATTTTAAGACTGTACCGTATTATGCAAATTATGTTTGATAAAATTAAATATATTCGGAGCAAGTGTTCGAAGTTCTCGGATAAAATTCTTCAGTCCTTCTTCAGTATCACCATGTTTATGGTAAACAGATATAAGGGGGATGCATTCCATTACATTAAAAGCCTTATCAACATTTTCCACTGGAGCAAAAGCATCTGGTTCAACCCCTTTAAAAATAAAACCCTTTTTACTCTCAGACATTGCTTGCATATGCCATAAAAAATTAATGTAGTCACACGAGTATTTTTTTACTAACTTTGCCCCTCCTGGTACTTGAATTTGCAATGATCTCTGTATACCAATAGAGGCATCATATTTCAGTAATAAACCACAAACTCTCTCTATATTCCCATAGTTTCTAGAAAATAAAGAAAAATACACTGCAGCAGGAGGTAATACAGATCGAACATTTAAACCTGCCCTTTCTTCAACGTCCAGTAAAATCTCATACAATCTCAATACTTCATGTAACAGTACTGCACTCCCAGGTTCAAAATTTAATCCAAGAACACACAAAGACTGAATATACTTTATAAGTTCATTCAAGATATCTTCTGCGTTATCTAATAAAGGAGGGTGGCGGAACAAACTTTCTACAACACTGTACGATTTTAATATCAAATTCTCTGCTAGTTGTAAGAGAGCTCTCAAAATGGAACACTTCACCATTGTGTTGGATGAAATATATACATAATATAAATGCACAAGGAATAAACTTTTCAATTCACCAAAAGATGAGAATGTGATCCAAGGCAAAAGTCTCATTAACTGTGATAAGAATGTTAAGCCATCCCAAAATACTAGGTAAGTGGCAACAAATTTAGACATAAAAGGAATTCCTTGCTGTGAGTATTCTTGGAATTCACATATCTTCTCCAACAAATATTCTTGATTCTCCATGGAAACTTTAACCAAACGATCAATCACCACATTCTGAAGTAAGTTAAGAAGAGTGTAACTGAACCGAGTCTGTAAATTTTCATCTCCACATGCCAGCACATGATGTCCAATAGGATTTTGAACAAGAGATACTGCATTACAAGGTATGTCAATTTGTAGTGCCAAAGTAGCAAATGTTTTCCAGCTGTTTATTTGCAATATTGAAACCTTTTTCTCTTGATACAACTTTGATCCAAAGTAAATGTATTCCACTTCAGGAATCGGATTCTCAATACGCCGCTTTTTTCTTTCTGGAACCTTCCAGATAAAATCAAGTTGGTTCTGTCTGTCATGTGTTAACTTAAAATTTTCATTATCTGCAATTCTTTGATGCGACATTCCAAAACAATATTTGAAGTAAGGACTCAGTTTGAGAGTAGATTTTATGCTGCGTGCTGCTATAGCTTCTGGAACACATTCTGGTTTATATGTTTTATAGCACCATAAAACAATGTCTCGAACAGATTTTTTTGCTTTAACATTAGAAGTGAACTTCAATACCATATTTCTGTCAATATCATCAGGTTTTGTTAAACGAACCACCAACCAACACGCAATATTTTCCGTTCGTGGCCATTCCATTAGTAGATGAAACATATTATAGTATTCATTGACAGGTTTTTCATCTGCAAGACCAAATTCTATTAGACCTGCAACCCACTGCAAAGCACATAAGACTGCCAGATTGACTTTTCTGACATTCCGGTGTACCCATTTCAAAACACATCTGACAACATCATCTGGCACAGTATACTTTGGAATCATACACTTTAAAATAGTCTGCATTAGAGAGGACGAATGGCATTTTGATGCAATAAAAGTTGAGCACAAATTTAAAAGTTCTTCAGTTAAACCGTTTACCTTTGCTTCACTTTGCAATGTTGCAAGGGAACTACTAGCCATTTTCACAGTCACACGTTCTGTCTGTTGACATAATTGTCTCAGAAAGACAGCGGCTTCATTCAAATCTCCCATTTTAGTAAGTAGCTAGTAAATAGAAGATGATATTTGGACACATGCCACGGCATTCTCCCACAAATTCAACTTGAAGCTTGAGAAGTTCTGGTCTGAAGTTCAGATCAGACTCTGAACCAATACGAACTATTTGCTGAACATTTGATTTGAAACGGGGCGGAATTTCCTTCCACCATAATTTGAAAATTAGTTACTAGATCTACCAGTTAGAGCGCGATTACCTCTGGAGTCCAGAGAGATGGCAACGTACCGGAGGGTTCCCCAGGGGTTCCCAACTGTTGATTGAACCGGTAGAACGATTATCATTCATACTGATTCGTAGAATCATGTTTGAATCGTTTAATCGTTAACCAGTTGTGACGGTATCTGCTCTGTGATTGGTGGAACTATCTAGGTGACTCTTTCAAAATCTTGAGGAAATGGATATTAATGAATAATGTAACTAACATTTTATAAATCATAGACTTTTTAGTTAATCTCGAAAGAAACGAACATAATATGCCTTTATGAATCATTTAAATAATCAATAATATTATCTTGTATGTCAATCTGCCCAACTAATCCGAATTACCCTTCCAAATGGATAAATAATAAATGCATGGATGAAGTATGGAATATTTATGAAGCGAGTTATTACTTTTACATAACGGCATTTATTTGTGGTTTATAAATCTTCAATGTACATTAAATAATAGAACCATAGTTTATAGGTGAATTCTTGAATGTAAAACAGTTTAGGAAGTTGCACGAATAATTCTTCACAAAGGTCTGAGGCTCGCTCTCACGATTCGTGAGTCACGATTAAGTCGATTCACTATTCACTAGCGCCACCACGGAGCAGACGTAACATCGAAGAACTACATGGATAATGGACCAATTCACTCGGTGTAACCGTTGCAACTGTAGCAATAATCGATTGGAAACGCGGGAAAATGCTGTGGCAATTTACACTGAAAACTCTCTCAGATAGTATTTTCATAAGGCAAATCCAAAGTATAAAATAAGTGATTTATTATGACGACTAAATATTACAAAAATTAAATGTTTTGTTTTTTTTTGTTTTTTTTGCCCTTCACTGATCGGCATTGCAAATGTTATCTTCCTCCTCGTTTTACTTTTCGTTAATTCTTTCGCCAATAGTTTCTCTGCTTGTTTTATTTTAGATATTTCCCTCTTTGTTACCTTTTCTTCGTTCTTTTTGTTCACCTTTTCAAGAACTTCGCTTCTGGACATACATGTAGCTTCAAATGAACTTCTCCTCATAGCACGTCACACACAGTTTTAACTGTTTTTGACGTAAATAAAATTAACTGATTTCAAAGGAGATCCTGTCAGATCTGCAGAATGGTATCTAGGCTCCGAGAAGCCCTTCATTTGATCACCTGCTACTTTTGGGTTTGGCGAAAAAATATTTAAAATTGACAACAATCTTTCAGTTTCACCAGTTAAAGGGAAATGCGCCTTTCCTGTTCATCATTATAGTCCAGATGTAGCTAGATATTTTTCTATTGATTCTTGGCCAACTTCTTTTCGATGCTAATCACCAATAACAAGAGAATAAACCTCTTGAACTGAGGTAAATTCGTGGTTCTTGAATTAATCACGATTAGGTGTAAATACGCCCATACTTTTATATCAGGGCACTCCTTATGTTGTGGTATCGACATGAATATATTCCGAGTAAAAAATATAGGCAATATAGGCTGTGATTTTTCTGTACATGTTAGCTCTAATAAACTTTCATTCATTGTGAAATGCCTATTTCAATGGTCAATTCCACGAGTCATCAAGGGGCTAAATTGTAGGCGAAGTTTACATTTTATGATTGTGATTTTTGCGGCAAAAATTGTAACTATGAAAATATGACTTCTGTGATTATCTAGCACATGCAGCTCAGGGTCATCTTCAGTAAGTTTTGAGAACATTTTGAAGTGTCCAAGTCACTCGCTGAAAAGTACTTCGATAGACCACGAGTAAAGGGCACTTATGTGTCATCCTCTCTCCAGTAACGGAGACATTCTCTTTCTTGGGTAGAAGAACATGAGTGGAACGTAGCGACCAGCCGCACTTATGTCTCAAAGAATCAGGTCCAAGGATCTGGTTGGGTTTTTGCAAAGTTGATATTCCAGTCACGTTAATATTAAAAACTTTAAAGGCTGAAAATGGGTATATGTCCATAATCGATTCCATATTAGCAAAAAATAGATCAATCTTCTTTGTTGAAGCACAAATCAAAGTAAAACTTGGGGAAGATTTTCTTAAGCTGGCTTTATTTCTTTTGGGAAACCCTAGAGCCCAGACGTCTCCAGCTTGAGTATCTCTATTAAATTTATGTTTTATTCCAAACTCTTCAGTTAGTACTTTAAATTTCTACTTTAAAACTACAGCCCACCCACAAAAATTTTATCCAGGCCTCCTTTATGAAAGAGAATAGCAAACACAAGTAGTGTTAGTACCTGAAATAATGAAAATGCCCCCTAAAAATAGGAACTCTCTTACCCGGACCGCCCGCATTGCGGTCTTAGAGGGTCGATCATTACGCCACTGTTTTTTCCATAAAATACATTAGCCAGTTCAACAACTCTTTGGGCTACTTCCTTCCCTTGTTCTCTACTAAAAATTATTTCCATAGAAGGTTCATACGTTTTGTCGAATCTAATTCTATCCCGGAGTATTGATCTTGATATGTTAAATTAATTTAATACACTCTTCACTATTCTTCTCCTGAAACCAATAACATTGCATCCGTAAGCCGTTCCTCGTTTCATCTAGTCTTATCCGTAGTCATTTTTCTTACTTTTGGCATCTAAAAATACTAGTGGTGCTACAACAGCACGTACTTTCACGAGATATTGTTAATGTCACATTATATGTGTATGTATATATAATCATTGAATTCAGTGTATTCACGTACTACTTAAATGTACCAACGATGCACGATGCGTATTTTAACTGCAAATAAAATTATTAGTTTATATTAATGCGAAAGAAATGCAGCCATCATTATCATCTGTTTTAAGTGTGACGTTACACCAAATGAATTACAATCAACAAAGACCACTAATTCGTATGGATACACATTTTGCCAAATAGCATTGTTGGTATTGCTTGCAAGAAAGTTAAAATGTGTTGAAAAATATAATAATTAAATATATTTTTACATTCATCAAAATTTCCCGGTTTTAACACGCATTACTCTTCATTCCCACATGTTATTAACCCTTCGACTACCGAGGTATTTTGCAAAAGTCGAATACGAAGAGAGGCGGTAACGAAGACAGAATTCAATATAGACAGACAAAATTCAATATAGTTTTAATATTTTTAGCATAAACGTGGTACTATTGCTTTCGTTATTCAGATTAAACATTATTTTGATATAAAATATTTATCTATTTTAACAATATATATTACAAGCAGGTCTTCGACAACGACGAAGAAGTCTCGAATGCCCAATTATGCCACATTTAAAACATATTGTACTATTCATATATTGTATCTTTTCTCCATTGCTGCATCATACACTGTGTACTATCATGTAATTTCATTAAATTTGTCAAAAAAGTATTACTTGATATTTGTAGATACTTTCTACACAAACAAAAGGAAAAATGATGTAAGGAAACTATGAAAATTAGGACCCTATTTACAAAATAACAAACATGCTATAAAGCAGGGACTTATAATGTTTGTCAAGTTTGAAATTCTCTTAATTGCTGCCACCTTGGCTTGGGTCTGGTCACTTGAATAAATTCAATGATTAACATGATTCTTTGGATTTGAGACATGTATTCAACAGTTTTAGTAGGCTTAAATTTCTACAAACGATACTCATAACTTTTCTTCTTTCTCAATACAAAGCATACACGGATGTCACCACCCACGTTGGAAAAACAATCAAAGAGGTTACAATATTACAATATAACAAGTTATTAAATAAACAAGAGATTAGACCATCAACATGGTCTTGCACAAAGGTTCCAGAGAGTATGCACACACAGTACAATAAGCGCACGTTTTCTTGAGCCCCGAAATACTTATTCCCACTCCTTCATCAACATAAATTGAAAAAGCAATGATATCGTTGTTAAAAACATCTGATATCAGAAACGTTCGCTCCCGTGTAATAGAAACTATTTTATATTGAAAATTGAGAATGAGCGACAAATTTCGAATAATATTCCTGTCATCAAAATACCCCCTCCCGCAGAAAAAGGGGCTCAAGAAAACGTGCGCGGCTCAGATAAAACAAGCCTTTTATTAATATATTTACAAGTCTCATTTCTTATAGACATTTTAATTTCAATAAGATTAAAGTGCATGTAGCAAATCCTTACTCTACACTAATTTTAATCATTAGTTTCTTCCGATCCTTGGATGGCTGGTACTGCTTAGGAGCATATATACCCATTTTGGCAACAAATATAGCCAACAATATATCCATTTTGGCAACAAGTTACTTATGGTACCCCTTCAAGATATTCCTTCGTTATGCTAGAGGGATCACAACAATAATTTTCAAATAAGCCTCGGAATTTTGTAAGAACCATTTGCATTTAATGAGCCATGCTGCTGTCATCATTTATACAGAAATTTATAAGAAAAAATATATTTTTATGAATACTACAGTTTATAATATTCTAATAGGAAGTAATTATTATTTAGTACTTTATTCCTTATCATGAACTTCAAGGATGAAAGGCAAGGGGGTTCCTGGTTGCGCAGTAGACCTGAAATACTTCAGTCTTCAAGGTGTTCCTAAATTATCTACTTCTCTTTTGGTCTTCCTATATCTCTCTACCGAAGTGGCTTATATTTTCGGGAAGCCTTTGGGAATCTTCCTTATTTCAATGTTTCAGCCATTTTTTCTGGTTCTTTTTAACTTCCTCTGTTATGTTTGTTGTTTTCAATCTTTTCCTTATGTCTTTATTTCTCAGTCGCTCAGTCTAGTACAGCCAAAGAGGTGTCTAAGGAACATCATTTGAGCTGCTTCCAGTCTTTGGTTGTTTCTGTTTTAGGATCCAGTTTTCTGATTCATATAATACCATTGGTTTGGTTGTCACGTTTATTCTCAATCTGGTTTCTTGTGTTATGTCCTTTCCAAAGTGTCTTTTAATTATTCCAGTTATATTTCAAAATTTTGTGATGGAGGTTTCGGAAGTTTAGTCCAATGTCATTGCCTCAATATTTGAATGTTGATATTTGCTCTATTTCCGCTTCACTGTTCTTAGCTCTTTTCGTTGGAATGACATTGTTTTTGTTTTTTGTCGAGATTTTCACGTCATAGTTCTTTGCTATTTTCAGTTCACGTGTTGCTATTTGGGGTTCATCTTCTGACTCGGCCAAAATTATTTGGTCATTTGCAAACAGGACTGTTTGAATAGTTTGTTTTTTGTTAAGTTATATACCTTGATTTATTGTCTTCGTCCATTATTTGCTGAGACTGTTGGCATAAATATTGCAAAGGTTGGGTGATAGGCCGCATCCGTTTCAGTCCTCTGTTTGTATGGAGTGATTTTTAGATGGTACCAATATTCATTTGTATGGCTATTTTTGAGTCCATGTTGTAATGTGACATTCATCATGACCAGAATAAAATATACAAGAAACAGCTGAATAGACTGGTATTTTTGAGGCACAAGTGATCAGAACAATAGCGCTTGGGGACAAAGATGTTTAGCACTTCGACGCGCGTCGCCGATGGCAGGTTGCCTGGTCCAGAGGAAAGCGAAGAGAGCATCGACTTATTTATGATCGGAGAAATGAGGCGACGGAGAAGCGCTAACGTATCAATGTGGGAATTAGTGAAGCCCTTTTGCACAACAAAATTGGCCCACTTATCAGTCAGACGAAATAAAGACCAAATACTGAGATGACTACTGGAAATTGAAGTGATGAGCGTGAATAGGAGTGCAGATGTAGAACTGGGCTTGCGTGCTGCCACGCTTGTCTACGATTGGAGGTAATTGGCTGGAGACGCGTAGCGGCTGCTGCGCTAAGGCAATAAATCGCCACCTCTTAGTAAAAGTTTCACTCAACGACTCATTCAGTTCCGCGCACAAGTGACTTCCAACGACGATGTTGGGGTGCGAGCAAAGTCGAATTTGACCTCATTTTACAAAACCAATTACGATAAAAAATAGCCGGGCTCACTGGCAAATACGCGGATCATTGGAGATAGGAAAAAGCGGGGTTGTTTTTTGAAAAGACGGAGTGGGGAAAGTAGCCGGAGCTCGAAGGGAGAAAAGAGAAGCCAGCGAGAAGGTTGGTCACGGCTCACGAGGAGAACTTGGTGTCATTTTATTCGTCTGACTTGCTTTGATAAGTGTAACTTACCGCTCGACGAACTGAGAACTCAGTAATAGTCCGCTCAACAAAGTATCGTGGTCTCACAGTTCATTAACATAAATACGACTGTGGATCAAATTTGCTACAGCACTGGCCATGCCAATGCATATTTTTCCCTTGCCGATAAATTTCAGGAATAACGACCGCCGGTGAGATTCATACCGGAAATCTAGTTGCGTCCGCGGAAAATTGAACTTTTCCCATACGGGAGGCCGCGAGTAAACGCTGGAGCAGTGAACGGACAGTGGTGTGCAGCTGTTGACGTAACGGCATCTGCGAGGGCAGTGTCTCCGAGGTGTCACCGAGGCGACGGGTGACACAGCTGGGCGTGGCAGTGGGCCTGTTCCAGACGACCCGCCCTTCCTTTCTGTGGCATTGAATGGCAAATGCATCAAGTACCTGGCGCTGCCGTGACAAAGGAAGAAAAAGGCTTTTACATCGTTATTTAAACAAGTAGATTAAGAAGAATATTGTAAAATTTATTTAATTTGCATCTTGAATTCAGCGCATTGCGATTTTTGGGGCTGATTGCAATCTAAATTTATATTTTGAAGTAAATAATCTATTTGTTGATTTAACAAAATATTTTCATTAAATTACGACCTCAAAATCCAGAATTATAAATAAGAATGTGTGATCGGGAACGAACCCACTGACCCGATGCCAATATTTCGGCACCACGGATTTTCATCACAGCGCAGTGTTTTTATTCAGTTGATATTTTCTTCTAATATTTTCACATTTAATCCCTCCTAAGCCTTTTCAAAGCCTCGGAGTATTATATATGATGGTAAGTTCCCTTAATTTCTTTTGTCTTATTTAGTTTGTACTGTGCCTTTGTGCTCCTGCCCTTCCAGAATCCACATTGTTCTTCACTCATTAAGTTTTCATTGCACCAATTTCTTAATGTTGGCAAATAATTTTGTAGTTGGCAGTAGCGTTATCCTTCTGTAGTTGGGGCAGTATTTTTGTTCCTTTCTTATGTTACCAAACCCATTTGTATCTGGCATGGCGTTGGATCTCTGGTGACTTTATTTCTTTGGGTGTTTGAATCTTTTTCCTCTTTATGGCATTTATTCATCGACGATTCATTAATTTTTCCTTGCACTTTCTCGGATGAATATTTGTGGGTTTGTGTGTTGGATACTGTAGTTGAAGGTTCATTTGCAGCCTTTCTCCTGTTCGGGAAATGTCCTGTACCAGTTTTGGGTTGTGTTGCTTTTCTCTTGTTCCACTAGTACCAGGATAGCTGGTTTTCGATCGGAGTGTTGTGTTTTGGATGTCATTGGCTTTTTTTATCACTGGACTTCTTGGAATGTTCGGTTTAACTTCACGCTCGTTCGTCACGCATTTCTGGATGAATGGCATTTTTTATTTGGTTGATGCATAGTTTCATTGTCTTTTAGTATGTGTGTTATCATATGCTTTATTTCCATTTTCGTCTACGTTTATTATTATATATAGGAGTGTTGGACATCAAATAAACGCTGTCACAATAGTCAGCCGTCCGCGAAATTTCAGTTTTCTGGAAGTAAGTAATTCTTCGGACCACGACGCGGGGAGTGAATTTACCCGTTATTAGGAAAGTAGTACGACCTGAGATCTAGTAAAGTGCAATCAGCCGCGAGCGAAGCCTGCACGATCGGAACTAGCACAAGCTAACTTGTAAGGTGCAATAGAAACATTCACGCGGGCGTAGGCGACGAAGAAGACTAGGACGGAACCGGGAGATCAAGATCGGAAGAGGACGCGAGTAGGCATCAAGCAGTCCTGCCATTGGCATCGCAAAGCCTGGGTGCGAGCAGCGTCGACGCAGAGGCCAGTGCACACCAAGGACAAACATCGAAATCCAGAGGAGGTAATGGTGCGTGAGCACCGTTGTATGTAGGTCAAGATCACGTCAGCCGGGGAGAGCTAGTTAGAAGGAAAGTGCGAGGGAATTAAGGACACGGGAGGCAAAATAATTAAATTCAAAGTTCTAGACATTTTGAAGCACTATTGCCTACAAAGAAATTTTAAATAGGTCATATTCATAATATTCAATGAATAACAATATTCATTGCCACAGCGAAAATTGTGTAAAGAGAATGGTGCAGTTGCTCACCTTTTACATGTAAGTTTGAGGAAAACTGATAAATTGAAAAATTTTGTTCGTGTTCAGTGTAAATAAGAATAGTAACAGATTTAGTCAAGCAGAGTTACAAAGGGAATTCCCAGTAGTTATTAGGGTAATTATTTTGTGAGTAGATTTGTATTATTTTTTTAATTTGGTGCGATTTGTAAGAGACGATTGGCTCTCAACACCCCAAAAGATCCCACTGCCCTGTGATATTAGCTCGCAAGAGCACGATATCTGCGAACCATGTGTGTGCCCCAACGGGCGATTCTATGGACGTCAGTATGTATGTGTGTGTATATATATTGAAACGAAGAACGTTTCTGCATTGTAACAATCAAAATTGATTACTAATTCTAATTAGTATAATTGATTCATTTAGAATGCCCTTTCCTTTCTAGCGTTTTTTTGTTTTATAAAGTAAATATACCGTCCCTTGTATTGATATATGATCGTTGAGTTTATTTATCACTAGAATTGATATCGTTTATGGAGAGAGCAAACAAGCAAATTCATTCTTCTCTCTGAGTTTCACATAATGAAAAATGAACAAAAAACCTTTATTAACTAAGAATTTTAAATTTGTCGAGAAAATCCAAGTTAGGAGATTTCAAATTCAGAAATTGCAATTGCACTCATCGAGTTATACGTAATTAATGATTGATGAAAATAGACTTTAATATTTTGTTCTATAATTTTTTATCCACAAGTAACCAAGTTTATAATTAATAATCAAAGTTTTACCTTAATTAAAATGTCATATTTTAAAAATCGTGCCACGGTTCTAGTCTATATTTTACATCTATGAATTCAAGTCATTTTGCGCGGAAACTAGAAAACATTTAAAGTTCACCCACAACTCTTTTTGATCTCTTTATTTCTCAGTCATTTTACACTTCACTCATATTTAAAATTCGAAAAACCAGCGATAGACAAGACAAAACGAGAACTTTTGAATCTCACGAAACTCAATACATTACGCGTTAGCAATGAGTATTGATAAATGGAAATACATTGGAACACCCGTTTCGTTCTTTTCTAATCAATAAACTTTGTTTTCTCTTCACCACCCAATGTTCGCCCCAAATGGAGCAGATTGAAAGAAATCCTCTAAGCACTGCGGAGAACAAGCAGAAACCTTAAGTTTTTTCACAAGATTGAGTTGTTGAAATGTGTGTTTTGATATTTTCTTGAAACTTGTAGAAAACAATTTTCATATTTCAAAAACGTATTGAAATCGTTGAGTCTATAAGAATTAAAAATACATTTATTGTTTCATAATAAAGTGAATTTACAGTTCAACAAGTCTGTTCTTCCGTCCATATCCTGTACTAAACAATTCGAAAGTTATTGAAATGATTGTCGATTCGATTATCATCATGATTTTAATTCTACTTCATTTTTGATATCTCTCTCT